ATTGATGTAAATCTGACTTCTTCTTTATCGTTCCCATAGCGACTGCTTGGATTCACCCTCTGGACTTTTCTTATGGGAAAATAAAAAATAAATAAATAGACAAACAAAGAAGTAAGCCTGACCTCTTCTTTATCTTTCCAATAGCGACTGCTTGGATTCACCCTCTGGACTTTTCTTATGGGTTAACTTCAGTACACTCTCGCATGGTCTCGCTCCACTACACTAGACTCACGGAAAAATCCGTGAGTGCCTCTAGAGCTGTCAGAGGTCTAGAACTCTCAGAAAAAGAAGCATGGCTCCACTTGTCCGGGCCTAGTTGCGCTACGCGCCATATGCCAAGTTTGGCGAGTAGGCGCCTCGCGGTTGGAGTGACTCGCCATCGAACTTCAAGTTGGAGAATGCAAAATGTGTCAGACGGCTTGCCACATGGTCGACACACAAGTTTGTGGGGAGTGTTTTCGGTTTCCCCCCCCTCTGTGCACGGCGGTTTGTGGAGGGTGGTGGTCCTTGGACTTCTCCACAAAACAACTTTGAGTTTGACGATCATAGGCGTGATGCCTACTTACGTTCGGACATCAAGAGCTGTGCTGTCACGTTTTTTTAATTTTAGCTCAGTCGCGTTCGGGACTCTGACGTGTCAACCTCTCTCTTCTCTCTTATTTCTTCTTTATCTCCTCTCCCCCCCCCTTCCTTCATCTTCCATCTGCTTCTCTTCTCTCCTTCTCCCTCTTTCCTTTCTCCCCTTTTGCTGTTCTTGACACGTGGTCTTCGTTTTTATTGAATGGCCTGGATGTGTGGATTGTACATGATTGCCCACTTGTTTGTATTTGATAGGCCGCTGACGACCGACGTTTTGCTTTCGATGCTTGCTGCTAATGATACATGTTGATGTGGATGCGCTTGCGTAATTACCTCAAGTTCGACACTATGTTCATTTTTTTTCACTCTCCACGCATCCGCCACGAATTGTGACCGATGGCGAGTAGTCGGAGTAGTGCAAGTAGGCCCTACATGATAGCCCTTCTACAGCGCTAGATGACAGAGCCAGCTCTTTCTGATGGTCGGGGCAGGACTCACATTCGCATAAAAACAAACAAAAGGGACAAGACCAGAGGCCTGGGACCTCACAATTCAACCCGGATTGCTGAAAAACAGGTCCAGCATCCTTTCTTTTTTTTTGGGGGGGGTATCAGAGTGGAAGGTAGGTCCAGTGTCCTCAGAAGAAGAGAGAGAAAACTGGCTGGAAACCAGGTCCAGTGTCCTTTCCAAAAAAATACTTCTAGTAATTCTAGAATCTCTGCATATGACGGAAGAAAATGAGGTCCCGTGTCCCTTTTTTAGATTCAATGACATAGCTTTCTGATAGCCTTATGCCTTCTGCTGCTCAGTGCCCTTACGAGCTGTCCTAGTTGAAAAAAAAAATGAAAAAAAAAAACAGAGGCCCGAGCTGGGGGTAGGATGGAGGACGCTAGAAAACCTCCTGAGCCGGGGGTTGCAGGCTGTGAACTGTACACAAATCGAGAGAGAGCCCTTCGAGAGCTGTGGCTTTCTGACAGCCACAGCTCTCGAAGGGTGACAGTTGTCATCAGTTCCAGTCTCGCCACACCACTCTCGAAATGTGCAAAATGAGAGTGAACGTCCCCCTAGAACATGGCCAGATGCGCCCCCCACATTTTTGTCTTTCTCACATTTCGAGAGCGGTGTGGAGCGAGTCGTTACTCTCGAAACTTCCAGAGTCATCTTTGGGTGGACTGCAGGGGTAGGGCTTGGTTCAGGGAGTGGGACTGAGACCCGTTGGCCCCTGTTGCTTGGGATATTATATCCAAACTTTGTAAAGCCTTGGGCACTGGGCCCCTATAATAAATTGACAACTATTTGGAAAAAAAATAAATAAATAAAAATAAAAATAAAATCTAGAGTGGCCGGTATCGCCCACCTACTGTAGCAGATATCGCACCTGCTGACTGGGTCCAGCTCCCGCCTGCTCCCTACGCGTGTCCAAATACACTCACTGATATGGTACAAAGCATGTACCGCGTGGTGATATCGTCTTGACACGATGGGGGAGTTCGGGCACACTAATGAACTAGGACATTCCGGAATGTATCTGACCGCAATTACGGCCACGGGTCCACGCATCTGATTGCGATCACGTCCACAGCTCCAATGAAAGAGTCCTACTAATGTCAGAATGCCTCCGACGGTACACAACCCTCGGACAGCTGGTTGTATGAATTCATCCGTCACGGATGAACATGGACACGAATCACGTCTAGATGACAAGCATTCCTCCGTCACGTGCGAATCGATCACCTGGCCAGGCTGTCGTCCAGAGACCACGCGCCGATCTTTCACCTGACCCCTTTTCACGCCTAGGTACGTTCTGACAGACACCAGGGAGCAAGTATATCCCGCACCACCGACTCGGATACCTGCGTCACTGCCCGTACGTCCTGCGAGCATGGCATCGACTGGACGGTCATTATTCGATTCGCTGTATTTAGACCGAAAGATGCCCCAAATACATACAGATATAATGACCCTAAGTGTATTCGGGTCAGAAGGGGTAGTAGCGCAAAGTAGGCGAAGCGTAGGGGCTTCGCCGCAATCCGCCATCGCCTCACGTTTTGTCTTGTCCTCTCCTCTTTCTTCTTCGTTGTACTCTCCTTCCTTCTTCTCTCCTTCTTCTCTCCTTCTTCCTCCTCCGTCCTTCTTCTCTTCTTCTTCCTTCTTCTTCCTTCTTCTTCCTTCTTCTCTCCGTCTTCCTCCTCCGTCCTTCTTCTCTTCTTCTTCCTTCTTCTTCCTTTTTCTCTTCTTCTTCGTTCTTCTCTCCTTCTTCCTCCTCCGCCCTCCTTCTCTGCTTCTTCCTTCTTCTTCCTTCTTTCTTCTTTGTCCTCCTTCTTCTCTCTTTCTTCCTCTTCCGTCCTTCTTCTCTTCTTCTTCTTTCTTCTTCCTTCTTCCCTTCTTCTTCCTTCTTCTTCCTTCCTCTCTTCTTCTTCCTTCTTCTTCCTTGTTCTCTTCTTCTTTCTTCTTCTTCCTTGTTCTCTTCTTCTTCCTTCTTCTTCGTTCGCTCCTTTCGCCATCGCCGTGTTCTTCCTCTTCCTCTTCCTCTTCCTCATCTTGTGTGCGTTATGAGTCATCAAAAAAAAAAAAAAAAAAAAAAAAAAAAAA